GTCTACTGTGTCGTCCAGGCTGGAGTGCACTGGTGCGATCTCGGCTCACTGCAACCTCCGCCTCCCAGGTTCAAGCCATTCCCCTGCCTCAGCCTCCCTAGTAGCTGGGACTACGGGTGCCCGCCACCATGCCCAGCTAAGTTTTCTTTTTTTTTTTTTTTAACCTCTTCCTTTTATAAATTATTTATTTTTAGTAGAGACAGGGTTTCACTATGTTGGCCAGCCTGATCTGACCCCTGACCTCATGATCTGCCCACCTCACCCTCCCGAAGTGCTGGAATTAGTCATGAGCCACGGCGCCCGGCCTGAGACCCTGCATCCTCATCCATGCCTCCCTGGATGGACGGTGTTTCCGAATGGCTGTGTGGGATCGCTGTGGCGGGCTCTCAGCTACCAGAGGCCTCTGTTGGGAGGAGGCAGCTGGTGGTGAGTCCTGAGCAGGGATGTGATCCCAGGGGCAGGAGGGGACGGGACGGAAGCTGACCTCCCCCAGGCTTCCTCAGCAGTCAGCAGGGCCTGTCAATCAGTGGGACCTGGTCAGCTGGCCACTGGGGGACCTCAGGCAGAGGGTTTGTCCTCGGGGCCTCCCTGGGACATTCATGGCACCAAGGAGGGCTCCTCAAGAAGGCGACACAGGTGCACTGAATCCAGCCCTGCTGCGCAAACCTGGCCCTTTACACGAGACCCGAGTCCCACCAAGGGAGGGGCCAGCCCCCAGCCCCCACCTGTATCTGCAACCCCGGGACTTCCCCAAGTGGAGAGGGCTGAGTGGGGCACCCCCACGGATGCTGACGATCGCCTCAGGCCCCGGGGGTGGCTGACGAAGACCTGCACACATATGTGAGCGGGACAGCCAGGCCTAGGTGGAGACAACACATGTGTTCACCCACATACACGGGCATGACCAGGCCTAGATGGAAACACACCACACACGTGTCCACCCACATACACATACACGGGCAGGGCCAGGCCTACCTGGGGAGAACCACACCACACATGTCCACCCACATACACATACATGGGCATGACCAGGCCTAGATGGAAACACACCACACACGTGTCCACCCACATACACATACACGGGCAGGGCCAGGCCTAGCTGGGGAGAACCACACCACACGTGTTCACCCACATACACATACACGGGCACGACCAGGCCTAGCTGGGGAGAACCACACCACACGTGTTCACCTACATACACATACACGGGCAGGGCCAGGCCTACCTGCGGAGAACCACACCACACGTGTCCAGCCACATACACAGGCACAACCAGGCCTAGCTGGGGAGAACCACACCACATGTGTCCACCCACATACACATACACGGGCACGACCAGGCCTAGCTGGGGAGAACCACACCACACGTGTTCACCCACATACACATACACGGGCACGACCAGGCCTAGATGGAAACACACCACACACGTGTCCACCCACATACACATACACGGGCACAACCAGGCCTAGCTGGGGAGAACCACACCACACGTGTTCACCCACATACACATACACGGGCACAACCAGGCCTAGCTGGGGAGAACCACACCACACGTGTTCACCCACATACACATACACGGACACGACCAGGCCTAGCTGGGGAGAACCACACCACACGTGTTCACCCACATACACATACACGGACACGACCAGGCCTAGCTGGGGAGAACCACACCACACGTGTTCACCCATATACACATACACGGACACGACCAGGCCTAGCTGGGGAGAACCACACCACACGTGTTCACCCACATACACATACACGGACACGACCAGGCCTAGCTGGGGAGAACCACACCACACGTGTTCACCCACATACACATACACGGACACGACCAGGCCTAGCTGGGGAGAACCACACCACACGTGTCCACCCACATACACATACACGGGCACGACCAGGCCTAGATGGAAACACACCACACGTGTCCACCCACATACACATACACGGGCACGACCAGGCCTAGCTGGGGAGAACCACACCACACGTGTCCACCCACATACACATACACGGGCACGACCAGGCCTAGATGGAAACACACCACACATGTGTCCACCCACATACACATACACGGGCACGACCAGGCCTAGCTGGGGAGAACCACACCACACGTGTCCACCCACATACACAGGCACAACCAGGCCTAGCTGAAAACACACCACACATGTGTCTACCCACATAACACATACACGGGCACAACCAGGCATAGCTGGGGAGAACCACACCACACGTGTCTAAACACATACACATACACAGGCACAACCAGGCCTAGCTGAAAACACACCACACGTGTCTACCCACATAACACATACACGGGCACAACCAGGCCTAGATGGAAACACACCACACACGTGTCCACCCACATACACAGGCACAACCAGGCCTAGATGGAAACACACCACACATGTCTACCCACATACACATACACGGGCACAACCAGGCCTAGCTGAAAACACACCACACATGTTCCCCCACACACTGATACACATCACACACATGCAAACAGTTCAGGGAGTGGAGGGCACTGACTCCAGGCCCGGCTGACCTGGGCAGGACCCTGTGGTGACAGGTGCTGCCACCCACGATGTCACCAGTGCCAAGTGCCCGCTGTGTGTGGAGCAGCTGGGGATACAGTGGGTGTCTGAGGGGCTCTGCATCAGGATGCTTTTCTAGGCAAGAGGTACATCTCAGCACAGCTGCTCTCCCCATAATATGAGGACAGTCACTACTAGTGGCCGGTGCCCACCTCCACACGGCTGCCAAGGGTCATCCTGAGCACTTAGCAGGTGCCCTTTCTGCGCAGACTGTTCAGATGACCGTCTTGTTCACCTCACGGCGACTCTGTGAGGTGGATACGAACGCACACGTTTGACAGGTGATACGTCCGAGACCAGAGGGGAGGAAACAGACCTGACCTTGGCCACGCTCTCCAGCCCTGCCCTGTGCTAGACCCAACCCAACCTCTACGGCCTCCTGCCCTGGACACACATCTGGCTGAGACCCCAGACCCAGAAGGGGCAGAGCCTGGCACTGAAGAGCCACCAGGATGGGGCCCCCATGTGGGCAGAGGGTGGTCCTCAGTCCTCCGGAAGATGGGTCCCTGCAGGAGGGGGTCTCAGCGGCTCACACTTCAGACACAGTCACTGCTGCTTGCTGTGGGGCAGCTGACATGGAGCCCTCTGTTCTCAGGCAAATGCAGACAATGGGGGAACCCTGGAGGGGTCCCTCCTGCGGGTCAGGGTGCAGGGACGCGGCTTTCCCTGCACAGCCCTCCCTCGGTCTTCTCCTCTGGGATCAGCAGTTTGCAGGGGTTTCTTATCAGACCACAGGGGCCACATAGGGACTCAGATCTGTGAGGCCCAGCCCCTTGAAGAGCAGATGGGCTCAGTGGAGAATCTGAGTGCACCTGCCTTTCCTTCAGCCACACCTGGGCGAGTGTCCTGGCACCCAGGCCTCCGCAGGTAACCCCATGCCTCGAGGGAGTTCCTGGCTCCCCGAGGCCTGTCAGCAGAGCTCCTGAATCCTAAGGGGTCAGCTCCCACATGGGAGCCTGGTCCTCCCATACCCTGGTCTGACTGGGCTGTCCCCAAGGCATGAGGGGGCTTCTGTGGAGCCTAGGGCAGCGGCTGCTCTCTGGGAGTCCCCAGGATGGGGGTGTGGCTGGCCTGTCCCCAGCTCAGGACAGACCCCAGGCTGCCCAGCAGTTCCTGTGCCGGGACTCCCTGTTGAAGCCACCCCGGGTCCTGGATGTCGAGGGCCCATGCTGTCCAGAGCTCAGCATGGAGCAGGGGTGTTGGGCCCTGGACCCTCCACATCTGCCGTGGACACCACAGAACCACAGGACAAGCCCAGCCCTGCAACCCCAGTGGGACTCTGATACCACGCCCTGCCCAGCCCTGTAATGACCAAGAGGCAGGTCCAGAGACACCCCCTGCATGGGGTCACCTGCACCGACCCCCTCGGCAGGCTGTGACGGGCACGCTGTGGGAGGGGCCAGGGCAGTACCCAGCAGACGGCTCCCGGCCTTGGGAAGTCAGTTCTGATGGGGAAGCCAGTTACTTGGAGGCTGCTGGAGAGAAGGGTGAGTGCGGTGTTCCTGCAGCCCTGGCCAGCCTTGCCCTGAGGCCTCTACCCCACCCTGTGGGATGGGACCCCCAACAGGGCAGAAGGCTATCCCAAAGAGGCCTGGCCCAGCTTCAGCCCGAGCCCTGGAAGGGGAGGGGCGCTGTGAGCCCCCAGGAGCAGCCAGGATGACCACGCTGGGGATGAAGCCCTCTGTGGCTGTGTCCAGACCGACCCTCAGAGCAGAGTGGGTGCTAGAGCCTGGGAGTGCCCAGCAAGGCAGAGCCAGTGACACTATCAGACTCCAAACGCAACCAGCTATGGGGCAGGGCGGGGTGGGGCGGGAGGAGGCGGACCAGCCGCCAACCGTCTACTCCAGGAGCCAGGGATGGCCAGGCTCCCACCCGCTAGTGGCCACCACCTAATCCCCGATGGGGCAGCAAGGCCTGAGGACAAGTGTTGGTCCTGGGGTCCTGCTTCCAAGGTCCACAGACTGCCCCAGGTGGGAGGACCAAAAAAAAAGGGGCACATGAGGGTCCGAGTGTTGGGGTCCCTACGTCTGCTATTCTCAGCAGGTGCATTTCATGGCTGGAAAAAGGAAAGGCAACGCCTCTCACCGCCCAGAAGGCTTTCAAGTAGACAGCCGCCAGCACAGATCCCCAGCCCCAGCCCCCGCCTGCTGCAGGACCAGGACGCCCTTAGATGCTAGCACAGTAAGTCCTCTGTCCTGACAATCTGCCTGCTTGTCCAGAGCTCCCCTGACACTCTGGGGCAGGTGGGAGTAGAGGGTGGCACAGCCCAGACCCCTGACCAGCCTCTCCCAACCTCCCGCTTCCAGTCAGTGGAGGGCCCAAGGCTGGACAGGCTGGAGGTTCCCACATACCATGTACCGGGCCACACGCACACTGCGCCCCACTCTCAGCCAAAAACCAGGGTCAAGACCATCCAATAATTTACTGTGTTCCCATCTGCACCCAACAAGGGCCCACAGAGGCCTGGGAGGGGAGCTAAGGGCTGCGGTTCCCATGGCATTAGGGATGCTCAAGACAGTCTGCGCAAAGCGTCCCTTGGAGGGTCTGCGGTCACCTCGGCCCACGGTCCCTGGGTGGCTGGGCTCCAGCAGCCCTTCCTTCCTTCCTTCCTTCCTTCCTCCTCCTCCTTCCGTCTGCACCTCCTCCCTGCATCCGGCACCTCCATGTCCTGAAGCCTGTGCTGGGTGGGGCACAAAAGATGCTGCTGACCACAGGCCAGGAGACCAGCAGGGGCAGGGAGCCGGGGCCATCCGGTGGGTGTGGTGGCCGCTCTGGGAGACACCTCACCTGTGTCAGGAGAGCACACACTTGCAGCTCATGCAGCCGGGGCCACTCTCGTCGGGAGGGTTCAGCTTCCGCAGCTTGTGCTGCCGAATCTCACGCACCAGCGTGTAAAAAGCATCCTCCACTCCCTGAGAAAAGAGGGATGGCATCAGGGGGGACCAGCCTGGGGCCCCCTGCCTGGGTGAGGGGGGCTCCCTGCTGTGGGATCAAGCCCTGCCTGGCCCGATGCTCCTGACTCCCCCAGCCACGTCCCCAGGCCCACCACACAGACAGGAAGCTGGGCTCTGATCATCTCGAAGCCCCCGGGGCCACCCCCATCACGATACAGCAGTTCCCTCAAAGGTCAGCATGGCCCAGGACCCTCCTGAACTCCAGGGCCAGGGTTTGACCACCCTGCACCCAGCTCTCATCTGAGCAGTGTCCCTGGCAGCCCCACTAAGGGCTCAGAACCAACGGATGCCCATGGGACACTATGGGGCAAAAGGGGCCGGGCCCTAGGGTCACCGCTCCGGCCTGGCTCAGGGCAGCTCTCTCCAAGGACCTCTGCCTCCCCAGAGCTGTGTCGGCCCAGGACTGCAGGGCGTGAGCCCAGGCCCCGGCCCTCGCCTCCCTCACTGCCCTGCCGTCCCGGGAGACTTACAGCGCAAGGGGCCGCTGGGTCACATGGGTCCCGGGGGGTCCCAGAGGGTCCCGGAGCTGGAGCCAGAGCCAGAGCGGCTGCCCTGTGTCAAGGGAGAGGGGTGAGTGAGTGCTGCTCCCTGGCTGGGGCGGGGCGGGCGAGTCCCTGGCTAGCAGCGGGGTGGAGAGCTGGCTCACCTGCCGCGTTTTGGCCGAGGTCTCGATGTAGGGGATGCCATAGCTTCGGGCGAGGTCCTGAGCCTGCCGAGACTCCACGGTGCGTGCAGCCAGGTCACACTTGTTCCCCACCAGCACCATGGGCACGTCGTCTGAGTCCTTCACCCGCTTGATCTGCTCCCTGAGAGACGAAAGGGGAGAGCTGGCAGGGGCTACAGGCACAGCTGCATCCAGGACAAGCACAGAGAAGACAGGAGGCCCCCATCGTCCGGCACGGCCCACCTGGGCCAGCCTCGTGGTTCACCTGTACTGGTGGATGTCCTCGAAGGACTTGGTGTTGTTGATGGCGAAGACACACAGGAAGCCCTCCCCAGTGCGCATGTACTGGTCCCGCATGGCGCTGTACTCCTCCTGGCCGGCCGTGTCCAGGATGTCCAGCAGGCATGTCTCCCCATCAATGACCACCTGCTTCCGGTAGGAGTCCTGCAGGAGGACATGGCTCAGGGACCCCCTCAGGACCCTCCTTGGAGGGAATTCACACTGCCAGCCCCTCCCTCCTACCTCGCATGCCCCTTCTCAGAGGTGCTGAGATGAGGGGCTCCCCTCCTCTGGGGGAAGCAGGAGACAGGCCCACACCACCATACAGGGCCAGGAGCTGCAGCCACCCCATCCTGGCCGTGTTCTGGGCCCTCCCACAGCGGCTGTGGAGGCCTGGACAGCGAGGCCAGGCTCACCTCTATCGTGGGGTCATATTCATCCACGAAGTGGTTCTGGATCAGCTGGATGGTCAGGGCACTCTTTCCCACGCCACCGGCGCCCACCACCACGAGCTTATATTCTGTCATCGCTCCTCAGGGCCTGCAGCCCGGGGTGCTGCAGGGTCTCCTGCCCCACCTGCCAAGGAGGGCCCTGCTCAGCCAGGCCCAGGCCCCACAGGGCAGCTGCTGGCAGGGCCATCTGAAGGGCAAACCCACAGAGGGCCCTGGGCCCCAACACTGGGGCGGCAGCGGTGGCAGCAACGACAGCAGCGTGCCTACCTGCGCGGCTGCGACCCCGCGGGTGGGGGTGTCGTCTTGTCCCCGCCTGCTCTTAATGACCCAGTGAGGCGAAAGGGAGCCGGCCCCCAAAGGCAGGGCTGACCGCTGAGCACTCTCAACCACGCACCCAAATTAGAAGCTGCTGGGTCGGCAGAAAGGCTAACGCCAGGCGCCCGAGGGCTGAGGTTACCGTCCCCCGGAACAGGTCTGGCCACGGCGGAGCGCGCCACGGCGTGCCCGGGCAAGCCAATGCCAGCCCGCAGGCCCCGCGGCGCTGGTGCCTCGGACAAGTATTTGCTGAGCGCCTACTGCGTGCCAGGTGCCGCTGGGGGGAGGGCAGACCCGGGCAGCGCCCCGCGCCCCCGGCGGGGATCCCGGGCATCCAGCAGAAGAAAGCTGGAGAAGACGGACGGGCAGGGCTCCCGGGAACAGGGGCCGAGAGGCGGCGCGGGAGCCCCGGAGGGGGCAAGGCCCTGGGGCTGAGGGCCCCGGCCTGGCCCACGACCTGTGATGCTGAATGCGGGTGCCCGGGCGGGCCGTGGCCGCCTCCGCCCAGACGCGCCGGGCCCGAGGCTCCAGGGGACGCCGGCGTGGGGACCGCGCTCAGCGCGAGGCCACGGGCGGGGCTCCGGCTCCCGCAAGCCCCAGGGAGGACGGGGTTCGAGCTCGCCCCCGCCCCCGCAGCCCCCGACGCAGGCTCACCTGTGCCCGCGGCCCCCGCCCGCCCGCCGCAGCCGGTCACGCCCGCCAGCCCCGCGCCCCCGGCCCGCGCCGCGCGTAGAGCCGCCGCCTGGGGGCGGGGAGAGCGCGCCGCCCGGCAGACCCCCGCCCGCACTCACCGCTCACTGGCGCGACTGCCCCCGGGGCCGGGGCCGGGGCCGGGGCGGGGCGGGGCGGGGGCGGGGACGCGCGACTCGCCCCGCGCATGGGCTCCGTCCGCGGCGGGTGCGGCTCGGGCTGCGGGCGGCGAAGACTCTGCCGGGCCCGCGCACGCCCCGCCCCGCGCCCGTCCGTCAGCCCGACGCGGCCTACCATTGGCCGCGCTCCAGGGGGCCCCGCCCCGCCCCGGTTGGCTGAGCGGCCCGTCTGTCAGGAGCCGCCGTCGGGCGGGGCTTCCGGGAGCAACGCGGGAGGTGGAGCCAGGGGGACCGAGGCCTCGCTGGGAGGCCTCGCTGGGGTGGGCTCGACCGGCGCGCGGAGCCGCGCTGTGGGGTGCACGAGGAGGGCGAGGAGCCGGCGTCTGGGACCCCCGGACTCTCCCAGGAACACGCCGGTGAGAGAGCCCGACTCAGCGGCGCCCGTGGCTCCGAGCCCTTCCCTGCGCGGCGCCGCCCACCGCGGAGGTCTCTGGGCTCCGGGCTGAGAAAAGACCGGGATCCACCGGGACCAGGGCCGGCCGCTCGGAGCTGGGGACCCCCGAGGCCGCGCCCTCCGGTTGCCCGGCTCCCCTTCCGCGCAGCTGGAGCGGTGCGCTCGGCGCCTCCCCCGTGCACACCCCGGCTCCCCTGCTCCGCCCGCAGCCCACCCCGATCACGGCCCCTCCACCGCCTTCCTCTAACTTGGGCCTGCTGAGAGGCGACCCTGCCCGCCCAGTCCCCCCAAACTTGAGGGTCCAGTTAAACCGCAGCCAGGAATTGCCGTCGGGGAGCGAAGTGCCCGGGGCCCACCCCAAGCAACAAAAGCGCACGTCCCAGCTCCTTTCAGACTCAAAAGGGCGTGTTTTTAACATCTCTTAACATTGCAAAGGAATTAGAAACACATCATCAATAAAAAACAACAGGCGGGCGGGGCGCGGTGCTCAGGCCTGTAGTCCCCGCACTCGGGAGGCTGAGGAGGGCGGATCACCCGAGGTCAGGACTTCAAGACCGGCCTGGCCAATATGGTGAAGACCCGTCTCTACTAAAAATACAAAACATGAGCCGGGCGTGGTGGCGCTTGACTGTAGTCCCAGCTACTCGGGAGGCTGAGGCAGGAGAATCGCTTAAACCCCGGAGGTGGAGGTTGCGGTGAGCCGCGATCGCGCCATTGCGCCCCAGCCTGGGCAACGGAGCGAGACTCTGTCTCCAAAAAAAAAAGGGCGGGTGGTTTAGTCCCGCAAACCCTGCCTCTGCCGGGCCCTAGCGCCCGCCCCGCCGCCACGCCCTCCCGCGCTGGTCGCTGCTATCCCCGGGCTCCACCCACGGGGGGTCCCGGGGGTCCCGCCTGTCGTCCGTCCACTACGCGGTCGCAGTCAGCGCCCGGCTGGGGAAGGACGCGCGTGGACGCGGCCAAGAGGCGGCGTCCCCCGCGCACTGCGGCTTCCGTTCTGTTTCCTGGACCTCGGGGGCGCTTTCCTCGGTGGTTCCTTTTGCGGTCGGCTTCACTTCCAAGCAGAGGTCCGGACCGGGGGAAAGGTGGGCACGAGCCTCCTGCAGACACCGGCTTTGCCGGCTCCGCGTGGGAAGTGCCGGGATGGCGAGGAGACGCGACATGTGCACCGCCACGGCCCGGGCTCAGAGCCAAAGGGGGCTGGCACGTGATGCGTCTGCGCCCACCCGCGTTGGTGGCACGTCACCTCCCGCTGGGATCGCCCGGGGCTGCAGGTCGCCCACGGGCAAGCCAGCCCGCGTGGCCCGCCCTAGCAACCGTTGCTAAGGGGGCGTGGCTCTCGCAGGTTATAAATATTAGCATATTCAAATAAGGCCCCGACCTCGTTGCCATGGCGCCCAGGCCGCAACCCCAAGGCCGGAGGAACAGCCTGGAGTAGGAGACCGCGCCTGGCGGCGGAGGGCGGCCAGGACCGAGCCCTCAGGTGAGAGCCGAGAGCACCCTTGGGGTGGGAGCCGCAGGCCTCGCTCTACGCCCGGTGTTAGGGGGGAGCCTGCGCGGAGACCTGGGCGAGGAATGAAGCAGCACAGCCAGAGGGGACCCAGTGTTGGCCCCGCGCATTAGATCTGGTCCTCTGGGGACCCTGGCCCCCACCAGCCCCTGGGCCTGCACTGAAGGGGCTCCCTGTCAGGGGACGGGAGGGGCCCCAAGCCCCGCCCTGAGGGAGGAGACGCAGAGGCAAGGACTCAGGATGCTCTGGAGGCTCCAGGGTGGGGCTCAGGAGGGGAGCAGGCTCCGCCCTCACAGCCCCCATGGTGAAGGAGCCAGGGCTGCCGGGGACCCAGGAGCTACCCACCAGGGAATGGCACTATCTGGGGTCTGGAGTCCAGGGGCTCACAGAGGATGCAGGGTGGGAGCAAGGTGGTGAAGTGTATGGATAGTTCAGGCCTCGGCGAGAACTCCAGGAGCAGTGTCTGAGGTGGGAGTCCAGGGGGGCTTTGGACTCCACAGCCTCCAACCCCTGGTCCTTGCACCCCCAGGCCTTGGGGCTCAGACCAGCATGATACTTGGGTCTCTCGGGCACAGAGGAAATGAGGGTGACTGACTCAGTCCCTGGTAATACCCATGGGTGTCCAGGGGCTGCCTCACCTGGCCAGTTCTTGCCCTCCATGAGCCTGGAGGCCTGGATGGAGGTGGCAGGGTCCTGCTGAGGCCTCAGGCCTTGCCCCGGCTGAAGAAAGGCAGCCAGCAGGGGAGAGTTGCCGGAAACCCCATGAGACTCTACTGTACGGTCACCTTTCAGACCAGGCCACTGAGGCACGGGAGCCTGCGCTGCTGCCCTGTTCCAGCATTCCCCCTACCACCTCCATCAACACTGGGGTAGCTCTAGACAGCATGGAGAGGATGCGTCTTCCACGTCCGCACGAGGTCAACAGATAAAAGCCAGGATGTTCTAAGTGGCTATATGCACATCTGCCTGTTCACGGCTTCCTTCTACAAATATTTTAGCACCCCCTCCTGCGACTGTGGACAGCAAAGAAGCACCCAGCTCCGGGGCAAGGCAGGCCCTCAACCCAACGCATAGTAAGACACATGGGGTTCCGAAGGGGATCTATCTTCTCAGGAGAATAAATCTGGGAAGGCTGGGGGGGTACTGCAGGAGGGAGGTCCAGACTGAGGACGAAGCCGCTGGTCAGGGAGGAGGACGCCGGACACTCCAAGCACACTCTGGCTCCACCCCTGGAGCTCACAATTCCAGGGTCTGGGGCCAAGGCATCTTTAAGGGGCAACACCAGGCTCACCTGGTGCAGGTGGTCCAGGGATGTACTGGGCAGACACCCTCAAAGGCCTGGTGAGGGGCTCTGGAAGAATGGGGTACTGCTGGTACCCCAGCATGCTCAGTACCATGCACACCCACACCAGCATCAGAGAGGAGGGAAGTGGGATTGGGATGAGCACCAGGCTTTGCGTTGGGGGATCCAGAGGTACCCAGCATCGGTCACACATCTGACCCTCTTCCTCTTCACCAGTTGGGCTGGGAGATGGTCAGGTCCTGGGCTGACCTGCCCACCTCCGGGTGCTGTGACCTCAGCCTGGCCCATTCCAGGTTCCCCTGGACACAGTGACTCGGCCAGGAAGCTACCTTGACTCTTGCAGTTACTGCCTGAGGCTCATGTCGCCTCCTTGCCCGGATGTTTGACCCACAGCAGAACGTGGCTGCCTGCAGGTGAAGGGGCTCAGAGGGCACAGGGTGGGTAGGGGAAGGCTTGGGACCTGATCCTGGACCCCAGGCTCAGAGACTATCAGGTAGAGAAAGACCCATAGCTCAGGGCTTAAGGCAACCCTGGAAACCCCACAGCGGCAGGCAGCTGGCCTGGCATCCCCAAGCTCGCAGCCCTCAGATAGGGCCTCAGATGGGGCGGCCTGGATGGGCAGAAACATCGGGAGGGTATCCTACGGAGCAGACAGGTGGAGCAAGGCTGGGGGATGGGAGTGCAAGGCGCTCCAGGCTGAGTCTAAGCAGACAAGGGCCCCATGAGGCCTAGCCAAGTCAGGAGCCTTCTCTAGGCTCGGGGTGGGAGCAGGCACCAAGGGCTCACTGTGTGTGGGGGGGAGGGAGCTGAGGGCTGTGCCAGGGTCTCAGCCAGGCTACGGAGGAAGTGGAGCAAAAGCTTGGAGCTTTGCGTTCTGCCTCTGCCAGCAGGTTTCACGTGAATGGACCCAGTCTGGGACAGATCCTGTGGGTCTCGGCCCAGCACTGCCAGCGTCCAGGTGCGGGAGCTGAGTTGGCGAGGCCTGCACAACCCCTGCCCACAGAGCAAGGGCCCTGGCGGCCAGCAGGGCAGCTGCAGAGAGCAGCAGGTGGAAGAGTACCTGTCCCCTGCCCGGCTGGTGAGTGCAGGCACGTGGGCGCTGGCCACAAAGGCCTGTGTGGGGTGACATCCCAGGACCCCTTTCTACTGATGTCCAGCCTGCCCTCAGTCACCCTCCTGCTGGTCTTCCTGCTGACGGCTAGCCTCAGCCCAGCCCCTGCAGCTGGGTCTGCTCCGCCCACTCTGCCCTTGGGACCCCAGCCAGGCCCCAGGTGCTCGGTGACAAAGACATTCCCAGGCATTTGGGTCACAGACAGGAGGGAGCCAGGCCAGAACCCACAAGTCGAGGCTGAGCATCCACTGCCCTCCAACCAGGAGGCGTCCTTTCCTCGAGCAGGAGACCAGGTGGTTCTAAAGCTCAGGGGAGGGCCAGGTGCCGTCTGGGCTCTGGGCTCTGGGCTCCGGGCACAGTGTGTCTGCCCTGGGCTCCGGGCATGGTGTGTCTGCCCTGGGCTCCTTGGAGATGCCAGCCCCCACCCAGGGCAGGTCCTTCCCTGCCAATGGCCCCACCAGCCACGTGCAGCCCAGGTTCTGCTCACCCCCATCCCACCAGCCAGGCCAAGGCCAACGTGGCTGAGGCAGGGAAATGTCCGTACCTGCTCTAGTGGGAGCCCACAGAGTCCTACCAGCCAGAAGCAGAGATGGAACTAGGGTGGGGAGAGCCGGGACTAGGATGGGGAGAGCCGGGACCAGCGCTGACCCCTGGTTGGTTTCTACAGCAGGCCCTGGCCCTGGTGGACGACCTTCGGCTGGTGAGGGCACTGGAGGTGTGTGTAGACACCCGCGAGGGCAGCCTGGGGAACTTTGGTGAGCCCCATCACACCCCACCATGGCCAAAGCCACGGCCAGGCCTCCTGGTAAACAACACGTGTTTTCTGGTTATGACCACAAAGTTGTCCACACCTCTCAGCTCAGGCTGCACAGCAGCTTCCTTAGGGTTGGCCCCTCACCTGAGGTCTGTGTCAGGTACAGGCAGAGGGTAGTGCACTCAGTACCCCGCACGACCACGCCGGTACCCCCGGCACGCTCAGTACCCCGCACGACCACGCCGGTACCCCGGCACGCTCAGTACCCCGCACGACCACGCCGGTACCCCCGGCACGCACAGTACCCCGCACGACCACGCCGGTACCCCCGGCACGCTCAGTACCCCGCACGACCACGCCGGTACCCCCGGCACGCTCAGTACCCCGCACGACCACGCCGGTACCCCCGGCACGCACAGTACCCCGCATGACCACGCCGGTACCCCCGGCACGCACAGTACCCCGCACGACCACGCCGGTACCCCCAACATGCTCAGTACCCCGCACGACCACGGCGCATCACAGAAGAGCAGAGACCTATGTGGTGCTGAGTGCCATATGGTGTCTCCTGAAACTCATCTTGAAATAATCTCAGCTATAGCAGGGTGTGGTGGCAGGCAGCTGTAATCCCAGCTACTCGGGAGGCTGAGGCAGAATTGCTTGAACCTGGGAGGCGGAGGTTGCAGTAAGTAAAATTCGCACTACTGCCTGCTAGCCTGGGCGGCAGAGTGAGTTTCCATCTCAAAAATAAGTAAATAAAAATAAAAAAATTAGACTGGCATGGTGGCACCTATAGTCCCAGCTACTCAGGAGGTGGGGAGGTCAAGCTGCAGTGAGCTATTGCACCCCTGCCCCCCAGACAGACTGGGTGACAAGCTGCAGTGAGCTGAGATTGCACCCCTGCCCTCCAGACAGACTGGGTGACAAGCTGCAGTGAGCTGAGATTGTGCCCCTGCCCCCCAGACTGGGTGACAAGCTGCAGTGAGCTGAGATTGCGCCCCTGCCCTCCAGACAGACTGGGTGACAAGCTGCAGTGAGCTGAGATTGCGCCCCTGCCCTCCAGACAGACTGGGTGACAAGCTGCAGTGAGCTGAGATTGCGCCCCTGCCCTCCAGACAGACTGGGTGACAAGCTGCAGTGAGCTGAGATTGCGCCCCTGCCCTCCAGACAGACTGGGTGACAAGCTGCAGTGAGCTGAGATTGCGCCCCTGCCCTCCAGACTGGGTGACAAGCTGCAGTGAGCTGAGATTGCGCCCCTGCCCTCCAGACAGACTGGGTGACAAGCTGCAGTGAGCTGAGATTGCGCCCCTGCCCTCCAGACAGACTGGGTGACAAGCTGCAGTGAGCTGAGATTGCGCCCCTGCCCTCCAGACTGGGTGACAAGCTGCAGTGAGCTGAGATTGCGCCCCTGCCCTCCAGACTGGGTGACAAGCTGCAGTGAGCTGAGATTGCGCCCCTGCCCTCCAGACAGACTGGGTGACAAGCTGCAGTGAGCTGAGATTGCGCCCCTGCCCTCCAGACAGACTGGGTGACAAGCTGCAGTGAGCTGAGATTGCGCCCCTGCCCTCCAGACTGGGTGACAAGCTGCAGTGAGCTGAGATTGCGCCCCTGCCCTCCAGACAGACTGGGTGACAAGCTGCAGTGAGCTGAGATTGCGCCCCTGCCCTCCAGACAGACTGGGTGACAAGCTGCAGTGAGCTGAGATTGCGCCCCTGCCAGGTCCCTTCTCCTCCGCCAGGTTCACGTGTTCATATGTTCAAGTGTTCATGGTGCGTCTTCGTGCCTGCTCCCTCCCGTGCACGCACAGCACTTAAGGCTGAGGTTATTTTTTCTGATCTAGCTGAGAGTTGCAGACACAGGGCCCCTGTATTTACTGCCGCCTCAGTGTGTATTTCCCGAGAGGGAGGACATTCTCTTAAATGCCGCACAAGGATCAGTCAGGAATTAACACCGTGCTGAAGGCCATAATCAAATGTCAGCAGCTGTCCCAACGGTGACTTCTTTTTTTATCCTTTCTTTTGAGGCGGAGTCTCTCTGTTGCCCAGGCTGGAGTGCAGTGGTGCGATCTCGGCTCACTGCAGACTCCGCCTCTTGGATTCAAGCGATTCTTCTGCCTCAGCCTTCCGAGTAGCTGGGATCACAGGCACCAGCCACCACGCCCGCTAGTTTTTATGTTTTTAGTAGAGACGGGGTTTCATCATGGTAGCCAGGCTGGTCTTGAACTCCTGACCTCAGGTGATCCGCCCGCCTCAGCTGGGAGCCACGGCACCAGCCGACAGTGACCTTTAGCGCAGGAGGCGCCTTCCCACCCAGGGTTGCTGGCTGTTTGCATTCCTCGGACTGAGGTCCATGTCGGTCGGTCTTGTTTTCTGTTTTGCAACAGCCTGTGAAGTCCTTGACCACTGTGTTTGGCCACTCTCTGCACCCCCGAGGCCATCTGCACTCGCTCGAGGTGTTCCCACCAGGCACGGTCTTGGAGCACCTGTGCCCACAGGCCTGCCTTCCCCACACGGCCCGCTCTGCACCCCTTCTCCTCACGGTGCAGGGATTCTGTCTCACAGGGCCACGCCCCATCCTACAAAAGACTCCAAACGCAGGGCCTTTTCCTGGGGCCTTTGGCTGTGCAGAGACACTGGCTGTGGCATCTGACCCCATGCTCTGGGGATCTGGGCCGGAACTCCGTTCTGTGTGCGGCTGTGCACAATGGTCTGGGATGCCAGGGGAGGGCTGTGGTGGCAGCTCGAGGGCAGGGCCCAGACTCTGGGCAAAGGGAGCACCACCAGTCAGCCATGCCGGCCTGGCCCCCATCCCGAGCCAACTCTTGGAGCTGACTCTTACAGCCCGCTGCAGACGAGGGCACGGAGCATGAGGCTTTGGGGGCTCAGGGCAGCTAGGCCAGGCCCTCTACCAGGCCCACGGAATCAGCAGGCCCCTTGGGTCATTAGAGGAGCCACAGCCCTGGAGCAGCTCCCGGGTGCCACACAACCCCTCTTTCGGTGTGGAGAGAGAGAGGCCTGTGAGGTTAGCCCATGATTAGTGAGGGGCCAGGGCCACTGATGCCTCGGGGTGCAGGAGGGTACAGAGGTGGACGGGGTGAGGGGCCCGGCCAACCTCCTCCTCCTGTGGCCCTACAGGGGTACACCTGCCCAACCTGGACCAACTGAAGCTGAATGGCAGCCACCTGGGCTCCCTCAGGTGAGCGCTTGGGTGGGGTGGGCTGGGTCCCTGCCATGAGGGTATCCCAGGGGCAGGCTCTGCAGGAATGAGGAGAGAACTTGGTGGGAGTGGGGGACCTTGGGCTGAGTCAAGGGTCCCAGGGGTCTAGAGAGCACCATCCTGCTGGCTGCCTGACCCTGAGTGACCCTGTGGAGGGTAGATGGGCAGGTGTGGGGAGTCTGGGACATTCAGGCAGGTGTGGCCTCTCTCCCAGGTGGAAAGGGGTCTCTCAGTGGGTCTTTGTTGAGAGGACTACTCCTGGGCCAGCCTGGGGTCCTGCCTATGCCCTGTGGCCTCTGGCTCAGCCCGGATGCACCCCCTTGCCGCGTGACCCCAGCACTTGTAGCTCTTGTGTCTAATGGGTGGGAGGCCCCCGCTGCGGGTACCACCCCACTCGGAGCTGGGCCAGGGTCAGGGCGGTCATGCCAGGTCTTGTGGCCAGCAAACACCCCAACTTTATACCTCTCTTGATGAAGCAAATATCAAATGGGCTGGGCACTGTCTCATGCCTGTAATCCCAGCACTTTGGGAGGCCAAGGCGGGCCGATCACCTGAGGTCAAGGGTTTCAGACCAGCCTGGCCAATATGGTGAAATCCCATCTCTACCAAAAATACAAAAACTAGCTGGGCATGGTGGTGCATGCCTGTAATCCCAGCTAGTAAGGACACTGAGGCAGAAGAATTGCTTGAACCCGGGAGGCAGAGGTTGCACTGAGCAGAGACCGCGCCACTGCACTCCAGCCTGGGTGATAAAGTGAGACTCTGCCGCAAAAAAAAAGTAAAATAAAATAAATATCTGAAGGAATTTAATAAAATACACGAAGATCTGGAAATGGAAAAATATTGGAAAACACTCTGGGGGCAAAGATACAGTGGGCAGCACACAGAGCTGGGACAGAGAAGGGGCCTGGAAATGAAGCCACGCCTACAGCAGGCGCCCAAACCATGCCATGGACCAGAAACTAGGATGGGAAACAGACTTCTTGGAAGCACACCCCCGAGCCAGGCGCAGTGGCTCACGCCTGTAATCCCAGCACTTTGGGAGACCAAGGCAGGAGGATCACTTGAGATCAGGAGTTCAAGACCAGCCTGGCCAACATGGTGAAAGTCTGTCTTTACTAAAAATTCAGAAATTGGCTGAGCATGGTGGTGCTGGTAATCACAGCTACACAGGAGGCTAAGGCGCAAGAATCACTTGAACCCGGGAGATGGAGGTTGCAGTGAGCTGAAATCACGCCACTGCACTCCAGCCTGCCCAACAGAGCAAGACTCCTCCTCAAAAAACCAGAACAAAAACAAAGAACATAAAAAGTACCCCAATACAAGACTATTGATATTCTAATGGAGATGGCTGTGTTTTCTCAGCCTCACAAAGAAGTCTATTGTTAAGACCAACAAATTGGCTCAAAGAACAATGAAATACATGTTGAATAAAGAAAATATAAAGGCTTTTGTTGTAGGATTGAAGGAAAAAACATTAAAAAAAAAAAAAAAAGAAGGGCCGGGCGCGGTGGCTCACGCCTGTAATCCCAACACTTTGGGAGGCTGAGGTGGGTGGATCACAAGGTCAAGAGATCGAGACCATCCTGGTCAACATGGTGAAACCCCATCTCTACTAAAAATATAAAAAATTAGCTGGGCATGGTGGTGCGTGCCTGTAATCCCAGCTACTCGGGAGGCTGAGGCAGGAGAATTGCCTGAACCCAGGAGGCGGAGGTTGCAGTAAGCCGAGATCGCGCCACTGCACTCCAGCCTGGGTAACGAGAGCGAAACTCCGTCTCAAAAAAAAAAATAATAAATAAAATAAATAAAAAGAAAAAATGTAAAAGAAAGCCAGGCACGGTGGCTCACACCTGTAATCCCAGCACTTTGGGAGGCTGAGGAGGGTGGATCACCTGAGGAGGGTGGAACACCTGGTCAGGAGTTCCAGACCAGCATGGCCAGCATAGTGAAGCCTTATCTCTACTAAAAATACAAAAATTAGCTGGGCATGATGGCCCGTGCTTGCAACCCCAGCTACTCCAGAGGCTGAGGCAGGAGAAACACTTGAAGCTAGAAGGCAAAGGTTGCAGTGAGCCAAGATCGCACCACTGCACTCCAGCCTGGGAGGCAGAGCAAGACTCTGTACAAAAAAAAAAAAGAAAGAAAAGGTAAGACAATCCAATGAAACACTATTGTAACTTAGCTGATCACAGCTATTAAGTGTATTAAACGCTCAGGCAATATTAGAAAAGCTAGGAAATGGGCCGGGCAGTGGCTCACGCCTGTAATCCCAGCACTTTGGGAGGCTGAGGCGGGCGGATCACCTGAGGTCAGGAGTTGGAGACCAACCTGGGCAACACAGTGAAACCCCATTGCTACAAAGAAATGTAAAAATTAGGTGGGGTGGTGGCAGCTAATTTTGTGGTTCCAGGTGCTCAGGAGGATGAGGTGGGAGGATTGCTTGAGCCCAGGAGGTGGAGGCTACAGTGAGCTGAGATGGCGCCACTGCACTCCATCCAGGGTGACAGAGCAAAATTCCATCTCAAAAAAATAAAATAAAATAAATTCATAATAATAGGCTGGGCACGGTGGCTCATGCCTGTAGTCCCAGCACTTCAGGAGGCCAAGGCAACAGGATCACTTGAGTCCAAGAGTTCAAGACTAGCCTGAGCAGCATAGCAAAACATCATCTCTATAATAATAAAAAATAATCAGGCCAGGCACAGTGGCTCACACCTATAATCCCAGAACTTTGGGAGGTCGAAGTGGGTGGATCATCTGAGGTCGGAAGTTCAAGACCAGCCTGGCCAACATGATGAAATCCCATCTCCACTAAAAATACAAAAATTAGCTGGGCATAGTGGTGCACACCTGTAATCCCAGCTACTCGGGAGGCTGAGGCAGGAGAATTGCTCGAGCCTGGGAGGAGGAGGTTGCAGTGAGCTGAGATCGCACCACTGCACTCCAGCCTGGGCAACAGAGTGAGACTCTGTCTCAAAAAATATGTATGTATTCAAAGGAACTTGTCAGAAATAAAAGACATCCAGCTACAGACTGAAAGGAAAAACAAACTGGATTGTTGGCACCAAAACACATCCTTGTAAAGTCACCGGCTTGAAGATAAAGGCAAAAGTTTGGGGCAGCCAAGAAAAGAGATCGAGCTGTCTTCTTTTTTCTCTGAGACAGAGTCTCACTCCATCACTCAGGCTGGAGCCCAGTGGCGTGACTACGGCTCACCACAGCCTCCACCTCCTGGGCTCAAGTGCTCCTCCCACCTCAGCCTCCCGAAGTGCGGGGATTATGGGCGTGAACCACTGTGGCCGGCCTCAAGTTGTTTTTTTTTGTTTGTTTGTTTTTTGAGATGGAGTCTTACTCTGTTGCCCAGGCTGGAGGGCAGTGGCGGGATCTTGGCTCACTGCAACCTCCACCTCCCTGGTTCAAGCAATTCTCCTGCCTCAGCTTCCCAAGTAGCTGGAATTACAGGCGCCTACCACCATGCCTGGATAATTTTTGTATTTTTAGTAGAGATGGGGTTTCGCCATGCTGGCCAGGCTGGTCTCGAACTCCCGAACTCAGGTGATCCACCCACTTCAGCCTCCCAAAGTGCTGGGATTACAGGCGTGAGCCACTGCACCCGGCAGGTTTTCTTTTTAATTTTTTTTTTTTTTTTTCTAAAGATGGGGTTTCACCATGTTGGTCAGGCTGGTCTTGAACTCCTGCCCTCAGGTGATCCGCCCGCCTTGGCCTCCAAAGTGCTTGGATTACAGGCGCGAGCCACTACGCCCGGCCAAGGTTGTTTTTTAAGGACAGAAAAAGCGTAGTGCTCCTCAGACGTCCCCACAGTGGACTCTGGAACAAAAGCCTCAGCAGCCTCCTGGGAAGATGGTGCGATGGCCTAACGGCTGCAGACGCTCCCAGCCAGGAGCCATCTGTGAGTGAGTCACAGATCAAGGACTTTCCATTAGCCGCTCTTGAAGAAATCACTGGACACAAATCCCAGCCGATTAAGAGCTGAGTGGAACAGCCATGTAAGGCAGCAGGCTGAGGGTAGATGTTGACTCCACGCACCGAAGGCGGACGGACCGCAGGGAGTGCACCTGGCAGGCCACAGAAGGAAGCGAAAGCGACGGGCGGGAGCAAACCCAGGTAGACGCAGCGCTGTGAGCTGGAGAGCATCGCAAGAAACCACCCAGCCCTGGAGGAATCTGGCCTCAGTGGGGGACAGCCTGGGAGCCTGGGTGACCCTTTCACAAGGAGGCATTCAGAGACAGCGTGGCGGCGCAGAAAGGGGCAGGCGCAGGGTCCCGGGGACAGCGTGAAGGCCCAGAAAGGGGCAGGCGCAGGGTCCCGGGGACAGCGTGTGGTTGAAATCAGTGCGGCTGCAGAGGGGGACAGAGCGGACAGATGGGCGTGGGGCCCGGCAGGAAGCAACGTGTCCCCGCACATGACAAGCTGCTGTGACCCACCCCAGCTCCGGCAGCTGGTGCCCAGCAAAACTGCCAGCTCAGCACGGGGTCAGCCCCCAGCAAAGCCCCTCCACCTCAGTGTCCAGGGGCTCAGGCTCCCAGGCAGCTTTCCAGACCCTTCCTCTGAATTCAAGTGCCCCAAAAGCTACTGAGGGGATCATCAGAAAGAGAGACCTCGTGATGCCTGCAACCTGCAGGGGAAGGGCAGTGGTGGCAGCAGGTGGGGCGTGGCTGAGCCACCCGCCATGAGGGCGTATCATCCAGCCCTACAGGGTGCCATGAGCCCCTCTCTGCAGGTGTGGAGATGAGAAAGTGTGGAAATAAAAGACACCAGACACCGAGAAAGAGAAAACAAGAGTTGGGCCCAGGGGTCCGCTGTCCACCAGAGCGCGGAGTCCGACAGTGGCCTGAGTGGCTGGACACAAAGCAGGGGGCAGGGCAGGTAGGGCGAGGCCATAGGGGTCAGTGGTAGGGTCAGGAAAATCACGTGACTTGGGGACAGGGCCCCGGGACTCTAAAGAAGCCGGGACGAGAAAACCTGAGGCGCCAGCACTTCCTTCATACTTGTCAGGAAAGAACAAGGTCGCTGAGATTCCTGTTCCTATTACTGATTCTTATCTTCTGAGGGGAAGAGGAACCAGGTGCAGAAGCAGAACTTGAACGTAGCCGTGGAGCGTGACCGCTGAGGCACAGCACCAAGTCCCTGGATGTCCGCGGGCGCCAGGTTTACCACAAGAGCCTGGAGCAGTGGAGTTTTGTCCTCACTCCGGGCCATCTTGGAGGTCTCCGTCCCTGGCTGGCTAAACAGCGGGCACTTTCCCATCACGGGCACTTCCGCACAGCCAGGCGTCCTCCAGCAGCCCTTACACGGGCGGGACAGAGGGCTTAGAGCAGCCTGCCGTAGGGTCACCTCTTTTCCAACGCCACTTCAGTCCCATACTTCCTGCCCTGAGACTCAGTGAGATGAAAGACTATATGGTTAGATACGTGTATATGTTTGTGATTACATATGAATAGCTCTGTGATTACGTATGATTAGATATATAGGAATAGCTAGCTGTATAACTGTATGTCTAATTCTTAATTCTATGTGTATGTGAGAACATGCTGAGGCTTCAGACCCTTGCCTCGGCTCTTGCGGGGTTCCCCCGACAGAGGGTAGTTCCCCAGGCCAGGCCCTTCAGGGCTCAGAGAAGGAGGGGGACATTGTACCCACACCAGAGCCAGGAGGGAAAGGCAGAGACCCTCTTCCTCAGCCTAGAGGCCACCATGCGAGGTCACACCTGCCCCTGCCCTGGAGGCAGCCATAGGCTGGTGGTGGCTGGGCACACTGCTGGGCACCGTGTCGACCACCAAACCCCGCCTTCTATAGGGACCTGGGCACATCTCTGGGCCACCTGCAGGTGCTGTGGCTGGCTCGCTGTGGCCTCACTGACCTGGATGGCATCGCCGCTCTGCCAGCACTGAAGGTGAGTCTGGGCGCCCTGGGCTGGGGAGGGCCGGGCTGGACCCTGGCTCAGAGCCCCGCGCTGCCCAGGAACTCTACGCCTCCTACAACAACATCTCGGACCTGAGCCCGCTGTGCCTGCTGGAGCAACTGGAGCTGCTGGACCTGGAGGGCAACAGCGTGGAGGACCTGGGGCAGGTGTGCTTCCTGCAGCTGTGCCCTCGCCTGGCCACACTCACCCTGGAGGGCAACCTGGTGTGCCTACAGCCGGCCCCCGGCCCCGCCAACAAGGTGCATGTCTGGGCACCCAGCCAGTGTGTGCATGGCAAGGGGAGGCTCCCTGTGGCTCCAGCCCTGGGCCCCTCCCTCCGGCAGGGACTTCTGTGCCCACCTGTGCCCTGTGGCCTATTCACCAAGAGTTCATCTCTTCTGTCACCAGAAGTCTGACAGCTCCCAGGGCATCCTCCTAGGCCAGCCCTCCCAGATCCCACAGGGTCACCTGCAAGCACGTCACATCCCTCAACCCACGTATGCACCTTTGAGGCCCACACACACGCCATGCGGAAACACACAGAATCATGTGTACACAGATGTGCACATACCCACACACCTGTGTGTGCCCCGTCCAGAGCCACGTCCGGCCCCACGGGCCCCAGAGACCACGCTGTGCACACATCATCTCCCTATGCCGCCTGTGCATGTCCTGCTTAGAGCCGGCACAGGTGCGTGCAGGCCCCAGAGGAGCTCCCAGACCCTGCACAGGCCACCCTCGCCCTGAGCTCACAGCGCTGGCCTCATTAGTTGCTGCCTGGTGCTGCCACATGCTGGGGTCAGCATCCACCAGTGCCCGGTGGCCACTGCTCCATGGGCCAGAGCCCTGAGCTCAGGGCAGCTCCATGGGCCTGAGGGCATCCATGGCCCCAGCCTTGGGTCTGGAGAGTGGGGTCCTGCATCCTGAGCAAGTGAGAGCCTATCCCTGAAGTCCCTGGGATCTGAGAGTGACCCACGCCCGCCCCAGCAGGGCAGGGCAGCATCACCACCTCTGCCCCCTGCCCTGCCCCACGGCGCGTCTGGAAGCCTGGGAAAGAGCTGGCCTGAAGGGCACACCTGACCCAGACCTGCCCTCCCTCCCCCTCCACCTGCAGGTGCCCAGGGGGTACAACTACAGGGCAGAAGTGAGGAAGCTCATCCCCCAGCTTCGGGTCCTGGACGAAGTTCCGGCTGCACACACAGGACCACCATCCCACCTGCGGCTGAGCCAGGACTGGCTTGCGGTGAAGGAGGCCATCAAGAAGGGCAACGGCCTCCCCCGGCTGGGTATGACAACCCCAGGCAACTGCCCAGAGGCCCCACGGCTGAGCCCCAGCTCCCCACAGGAAGAGGCCCTCACCCCAGGACTCTCAGAGACGGACAGCCACATCTCATGCCCTCCCCCAGCCTTGACCTCTGGTCCCCAGAGTCCAGGACACTATCTCTGAGCAGCCCACAGTGGGAAAGGAGGATCTGGAGGGGAGGGCCTCTCCAGAAGGCAGCAGTGTCAGAGGCCAGCCTCTGGCCATGCAGTGTGGGTGTCCGGCTCCCTGGTCTGTGGACAGAGTCTGGGGCGGGCTCTCAGGCTGACCAGCTGGCCTGGTCCTTGGTGACCTCTGCTTCTGACCCTCGGGCAGACTGTCCCCACGGAGGCCCCATCCGGAGACTTGACTCTGAGCTGTCCCTGCCTGAGACGCAGCCCCGAACCTCCAGGCCCTGGCCCTTCTCGATGCTGGTCCCTGGGGGCCCCCTGCCTGAAGGCCTGCTTTCTGAGGACCCAGCCCCAGGAGATAACACCAGCAGCCTCACCCATGGTAACTGATGTGCCCAAAAGCTAACCCTGCAGCCCCTCAGCCCCGAACTAGGCCCAGCCACGCTGTCTCCCGCAGGTGCTGGCCAAGTCCTGTGTGGGAACCCCACCAAAGGCCTGCGGGAGCGTAGGCGCCAGTGCCAGGTACACCCCCAGGGACCAGCCTCCAGGGCCCCAGCCCCCCACGGGCACCAGCATCCAGGGGTGCAGCCCTGACGGTGCTGAGCAAGAATCCCCAACTAGTCCCTTTTCCTCCCCAGGGCAAGGAGCCCCCAGAGCAGTTGTCCCAGCACAGGCCAGGAGATCTGGCCACCAGCACTTCCAGCCCAGAGCCTGACCCTGCAGACAGCTCTGAATTCCCGGCCTTGACCGGGCTTAGGCCCTGGAGGGAGCTTGGCATGAGGTGGGTGTCACCCCGACCCTACTACTGTGTGTGTCTGTCTGGTGGGGGGTCAGGGCTGGGGCTACCTTGGCTGAGTCATCATTGGTCTCCATCCCTGAGCCTCACGTGCTCTTGGGTCAACTCAAAGAAGAGCCAGGGCCAAAGCTCCTCCTCCTCTCTCCACCCTACCCCCTCCCCTATAGGCACCTGGAGTCCCAACAGGAAGGGGCTGTAGTCCCCGGAAGCCGATGGTGGGCCCCTGAAGAGCAAGTGCACCAGGCAGAGCCCAAGACTCCCCCCAGCCCCCCAAGCCTGGCCTCAGGTACTGAGCCTGTCTGCCATGCCTGGGAGTGACCCAGCACCCCACCTCTGTAGGTAACACCTACAGATCTGACATTCAGCCTGGTCCCCTTCTTTAGCCAGGCTCTGAGAGACTGTGACAGGAAGGTCCCCTTCTGGGGCTGGGGAGGGCCAACCCAGGTCCTCCCTCTCCCAAGCCATGGTCCAAGCCCTGTGACCTTGTGGCCACCCAGGCTGCACTCAAGAGAGACCTCGTTCCACAAAAGGGTGGTGTGAAGAGTCCAGAGTGGTCTGGACAGAAAGAAGCAGCCACCCCAGGGCGCCAGCAGGCAGAACGTGCCCACTGGGCAGCTTTCAGGGGCACAGGCACCAGGCCTGGGGTCAGCAGCCAGCAGCCTCCCCAGGACACAGAGGCAGGGAGGGTGCTGCTGCTGTTTTTTTTTGAGACGGAGTTTCGCTCTTGTTACCCAGGCTGGAGTGCAATGGCGCAATCTCGGCTCACCGCAACCTCCGCCTCCTGGGCTCAGGCAATTATCCTGCCTCAGCCTCCCGAGTAGCTGGGATTACAGGCACGCGCCACCAAGCCCAGCTAATTTTTTGTATTTTTAGTAGAGACGGGGTTTCACCATGTTGACCAGGATGGTCTCGATCTGTTGACTTCGTGATCCACCCGCCTCGGCCTCCCCAAGTGCTGGGATTACAGGCGTGAGCCACCTGCTGCTTTACCCCGAAGACGGCAGGTGTTTTCAGGCACAGAATTAAGCCATGCAGTGCCCTCTCCAAAGCACACCGGCTTCAGCACAACCACAGCTTGGAGGCAGAGAGGACCTTCCCTCAGTGGGCAGGCAGGCTGGGTGGGGGGCACTACAAGCAGGGGCAACCCCACGGTGGGCAGGCTGACCCTTCTGTGCAGGAGCCTGGTCAAGGGGGCTGGGATGGGCAGGGAACAGGGCAGGCCAAGCCTCTGCCCTGCTGGTGGGTGACTGTGGAGGGGCAGAGAGAGGCGTCAGCAGCTGGTCACCTAGTGGCCAGGAGCTGCAGGGGTGGAGGGAGGGCAGGCAGGGCAGCCAGGAGGAGGGTGAGCTGCAGTGGCCTTGAGCCAAGGTCGGGACAAAGGCATGCCAGGGCTGCATGTGCTCGTGCAGGCAGGTACTGGGGGACCAGCCTCTCAGGGAAAGGGCACAGATGACCCAGGGCCAGAACCAGGTCTTGGGATTGCCTTACCTGCCCCAGAGGTGGGCCTGCCCAAGCAGTCAGGGGTCACAGGGCTGGGAACACAACGTGGGGTGCATCGGAGCAGCCTGAGGGGCAGGGATGCTGCTGCCTGTGGACCCATAGCCTGGACCATGGCCTTGGGGCTGCAGGGCCATGGGTGGGCTGTGGCCTCCCCTTGCCTCACAGCCTTTCTGACTGCTGTCACTCCGTTTGCTTTCTAGAGGCCCCCAGGACCTTCCGATGTCAACTGGTCCCTTCCCCTCCGAAGCACCCCATGCCACCAGCTTCTGGCAGCAGCTCCCCCCGGTGGCCCACAGACCTGCAGTCCAGGGGACGTCGGCTCCGAGCCCTGGGCAGCTGGGGGCCTGGCCTGGGTGATGGGGTGGCCACAATGGCCTCAGAGCTGAGCCCTAGAGCCCGGGGATGTCCTGGCCCAAAGCCAGCACCAGATGCATCAGCCAGACCCCCCAGGGCAGCCGAACTCTCCCACCCCACCCGCTTCCCCCACTTAGTGTAGCCCCCACTGCTAAGCTTAACCTGTGCTGAGGCCACGACCTGCCCACATGTGGTCACGGGAGCACAGGGTGGACTTGGTCTCATGGCGCACAGAACGTCTAGGCTGGTGTGTTGGCAGGTGGCGGGAATGCTTGGCCCTGGGGAGGACCCTCTTGGATGAGGGGAGTGGGGGATTGGGTTAGGCCCCCGACAGGGTTTGGCTTGGGAAGGGAGGGTCCCAATCCAGCCCCTCTTCGTGCCAGGCTTTCCCGCGGGCACGGGGTTGGGGGGGTGGTTACAGGGGCAGGCCTGTCAGACCTCTCCAGCTAGAGTTGGGTGTGGCCGAGGAGCCACCTCCTAGGCCTCCATGGCCCAGTCCCCCAGGGTCCCAGCTGCTGGCCCTCGGCCTCCCTTCCCCAGGGCTCCCGCGCCGCAACGGGGGGGGGGCGGGGGGGGGACAGTTCCCTCCTCCTGGGGCAGGATGCCCCGGAAACCAAGGGAATCATTTTCGACTCTCAGGTGCACAGAAATGCGATTTACTTTGTAGGCAACGTTGGTTCATTAAATTACGCAGCGGACCGCGCCTGCCTAGTCCCCGCGCCCGTCCCGCCAGCCGTCCTCGCGGTCCCGGCCCCCTAGGCGCGGCGGCAGGAGTCCATGGTGAACGGCAGGCAGTTGAGGAAGCGGAAGCCGTATCTGCTCTGGGCCGTGCTCGGCACCGACAGGGCCACCATGGGGCAGCTGCGGTCCACGCTCTTCCGGCACACCTGGGGGGTGCGGGGGCTGAGAGGTGCTCGGGGCGGGGCGGGGCGAGGAGGGGAGGGGATGGAGAGGGGAAGGGGGGACGGGGAGGGAACTTGGAGGGGCAAGGGAGGAGAGGAGCGGGGGTCGGGGAGGGGAGGGACAGGGGAGGGGGCGCATCCGCACGCCTGCCCTCACCCGAACCCGGTGCTCCTTCAGGAGCCGCCAGTCCTCCAGGCCCAGCCCGGCGTCTGCGGGAGGCGACGGTGGGGTGGGGTCAGGCGGGCCGCGCTCTCCCTCCGGCGTGCGCTCCCTGGGGATGGCGGGCAGGTGCTGCGCGGGCCCCTCCCGCGGGTGGAAGCGCTTCCCCGAGCTCGGCGGCGGCTGTAGGGCCCGCGTCCTGGGGGGCGAGGGTCATGAGGGCGGCGGCTGGCCCGGGAAAAGCGGCCCTAGAGGGCTCCGCGCCTGGGGCGGTGCAGGGGCTGAGGGACGCCCCGGTGACTCGGGGCGGCAGGGCGGGACCTGGGGAAATTGGGGCCGCCTGGGGATCCCAGGGACCGTTTTGCTGGGGCGGGGCCTAGAGAGGAGGCGGGGTCCCGGGGACCTGCAGTCCCCACCGTGGCCTCCGACCGACCCGGGACTCCCGCACGCGGCCTCTGCGCGGGGTTCCAGGCGGCTCGCAGGGGTCGGCGCCGGGCCCCGCCTCCGGGAGCGGGAAGCGGTCGATGGACAAGTCAGTGTCGTCGGCAAAGACCCTCGGGGCCGGAGTCGCGCAGTGTGGGATCCGGTGCTCGCTGAGGACCTGCGGGGCGCGTCGGTCACCCCCGCACCCGAAGCCCGGCCGCCCCCCGAGGGCCCGCACCGACCTCGCCCTTGGGGCCCAGGAGCAGCGTCACGCAGTCGGGGCTGGAGTGAGAGGGTTGGGGCTCCCGGCCCGAGGACGCGCACGGCGGCTTCTTGGCGTTGCGGGGTCCCTCGCCCCAGATCTGGAAGGGCGCGGAGTGGTGGGTGAGGGGCGGCCGGGAGGGCCGTCCGGGCTGGGCTCGCGAGCCGGGGCGCACCGTAATGTGGTGGCGCGGGGCCAGCAGCGTGGCCGGCGGGAAGCGGTAGAGGCGCTCCGGGCGGCCGCGCACCAGCTGCTTCAGCACCGCGCCGCCCAGGTCGGCCGTCTCCAGCTGCGACTGATTGAGGATGCGGACGAGCTTCTCCCTGACGCTCACGGCCACGATCTTCAGGCAGCTGCCCGTCGGGCTGGGGCGAGAGGGGGAAGCTGTGAGATGCGGCGTGTCCACCCGACGGCTGTGCGCCCCGCCTGGAAACCAGCTCCAGCCGAGCGCTGGAGGCCTGGGCCGCCCCTTACCTCTGCTGGTGTTCGGGGCCCGGGTAGTCAGGGTCTGTGCAGAGCTCTGGTGTCAGGACAGGCTTGCGGTGCCTGGCTGATTGGGTTTTCTGGAGATCTAGAGAGGAGCACTTTTGGGGAGGGGGACCCTCGAACGGCGTACCTGTGACGGTACGAGATGTACCCTATGAGGCCAACCAGGTCTGCAGGGCCTGGGGGAGCGGGTAGCAGGCCAGGGTCAGAGGGATAGGAAGAGCGGCTGTACCTTGGGGCCTGGAGGACCTCCTTCAGGGCTCTGGGTGAGATCACGGGCCTGAGGGATGGAGGGTGGGTGAAGGATAACAGGGAGCCCCGCCCCACTGCACCTTCTGATCCTCTTCCGAAGCTCCTGGCCTGCACCAGTGCCTTCTCCGAGGAAGCACCCCAGCCCCGGGGCGAGTGCCTTGATGCCTTCAGCAGGTGATAAGGCAGGCCCTGCTGGCAGCTGCTGGAGTCGGAGTCAGCACCCCCTGAGCTGCTGGTGCCCAGACAGGGCAGGGAGCCCCGCGTCACGGTCTCCTGATGCCCCTCGGAGTGCTTTCCAGGGGACCCCGGGCTCCCTGTGTCCAGCTGTGGCCAGGGCCATGGCTGCCTGTGGACCACACTCTGCTTGATGTCCATTCCAGCTCCAGACGCCAGCCCTGCCCCCATCCAGCTGGAGCGGGCAGCACAGCAGGGAGCCCCTGTTGGCTCCTGGTACCCAGGACCCAGGCCCGGCACAGGGCAGGACAGTGATAGCCCCTTCAACCCCAACCCATTCCACAGATCACAGGACTGAGCATTGGAGAGTTAAGGGACTTCTCCAGGGACACCAAGGGGTAGTGTCCTTGAGTGACCTGGGTCTTCACCTGCCAACATGAGCCCCCCCTTCTAGCCCCTGGGGAGGCCCTGCCTGTGCCGTTACTTTTGCTGGGAGTCAAGCTCCACGTTGGTGAAGAGGTTGGGGTACCGGCGGGCAATGCTGTTCCAGTCTTTTTCCAGCCGAAAGCCCTGGCCAGGAAACAAGAGGCACATTTCCTCCCAGACCACACACGTGGCAGGCCTAACTCACCTCCCCAGTGGGGGCCTGAATGTTCTCAGAGAGGTCACTTGGGTCCATCAGAGTCCCTGCCATCACCACCTGCCAGAGGGGACCAGAGGCCAGTGGGCAGGGACTGGGGCGAGTGGCACCCTCCCCCACAGCACCGCTCCTCTTTGACCACACCTGTACTTTGAGGCCTCCTGATTCCTCCCCGCTGGAGCCTGGAGTTCCAGAGGCAGCCTGAGCCCGGCAGGCTTCCAGGCAGGCCAGGGCCCCCAGCAGAGGTACCCAATGGGAGGGTGAGGGCTGGGGAGGGTGGCTGGGGCAGCGGGGCTTGCGCTCACCTCCACACTGCCAGTCTGGGATTGCAGCATGCGGCCCACCCACGAGGAGCGGGCTAGCTGCAGGAGGCAGGACTTCTGGAAGTTCTGCAGCTCAGCCTCTACCTCCTGGAGCCTGCGCGTGGTCTCCAGCAGCTGCTCCTCCAGGTACTCCTTCTCCTGCTCCAGGAGGGCCTGTGGGTGAGAGGCCAGCCCTGGCCTGGCTCCCAACACCAGGACCCCGCCCACTCCCTGTGCCCCCACCTCACCCACTGGGCTTGCTCTTTCTGTTCCTTCAGCTGCAGGGTCAGCTTCTGGACCTGGCTCTGCAGGAGCCTCTCCTGACTGTGGGAGCTCCTGGAGGAGGGATGACCTCAGCAGCCCCCAGCCTGCTCGTGCAGGCGTTCTTAACACCAGGTCAGTGGTGAAGGAGGGGCACCACGGCCATCTTGGCCCCAAGGGCAGACAGTACAGCTGCACTGGGGCCGGCCAGCCACCCACGGGTCTGGGCAGGGGCCTGGCACCCATCCACATGTGCAGGGCTGGGGTTGAAGCTGCAGTGTGTTAGCTTAGGGTCAGGGTGGAGGGTCGGCGTGGGCAAGGACAAGGGAAAGGATCTGACTCGGCGGTTGGGGTTGGGGTCAGAAACCAGGAGTCCGGGCCAGGACAGGGCAGGGTTGGGTTGGGCTGGATGCTGTGCTTCAGACCTCTTGGGCGGAAGCCCCGCCACCTCCTGCAGGATGTGCCAGAGCCGGGTGTCCCGGCCATTCCGGACCGCCCACCGCAAGGCCTGGATCTCTAGTTCTCGCTGCCCCCACAGCAGCCGCAGCGTGCGAGGATCCAGGGACTCAGGAGCCAACCTGCAGTGACAGTGTCCCCCGCTTCTTGCTCAGGCTGGGCCCCAGCCATCTGGCCCAGGAGCTTCACCACTTTTCCCTCCCATCCTTACTGCGGGTTGGCAGAGCAGGCCACCCGTGTCATGGAAGTCGCAGAGGCTGCAGGTGTGCCCGCTGGAGGTCCCAGGTGACCACTGACCGACTCTCGGTCTGTGGAGGACGAGAGAGCCTCCTCCTTGGCTTCTTCAGCCCCGGGGCCAGACTTGGGAGCCATTCGTGATGTTCTTTGGGAGCTGGGAGGAGTGGGGGGGCCAGGTCTGCTGGGTGTGCTTGTGTGGCCACATTGGGGCCGCCCAGCGGTGGCTATTTGAGGAGCCCCAAAATGGGTGTCCACACTTGTGTGTTTCTGACCTTTGCCAGTGACGTGGTGTCCTTCTCTTTCTCTCTGGTCTCCCCAGCTCAGGACCCCACCCCCAGCACTCACCTGAGGCCAGAGCTCCAAGCAGGCCTGGGAAGGAAGGGCTCTATACCGTTGCCCTGGATACCAGCACCCAGAAGGGGAGGGGCTGTTTGTTACCTGGAGGCTCCAGGGAGACCCCAGACCAGGCCCCTGGGTGAGTTCTGAGCCAGCCCAGGCTGGAGGAGGTGTGAGAGACTGAGCCACTGCTCAGCTTGGGGTGGCGGGGAACCACTTAGTGGCCAACACCCTCAAACTGAGGGAGGCCTCAGCACCCCCTACCCAGCCTGGTGGCAGCAGTGTGACACATATGGGGCATTGCTGCCTGTGAGCCAGGCCAGCATAGCCATGGGTACGTGGGGGACAGGAAGCAGACAGGTAACAGTGACAAGCTGGGGACTGGTGAGGGCTAACTTACAGTAGTACACCCCACCCACAGCCTCTTTTTAAATTAATAATTATTTTTATTTTTATTTTTTTTGAGGCGGAGTTTCGCTCTTGTTACCCAGGCTGGAGTGCAATGGCACGATCTCGGCTCACCGCAACCTCTGCCTCCTGGGTTCAGGCAATTCTCCTGCCTCAGCCTCCTGAGCAGCCGGGATTACAGGCCGCGCCACCATGCCCAGCTAATTTTTTGTGTTTTTAGTAGAGATGGGGGTTCACCATGTTGACCAGGATGGTCTCGATCTCTTGACCTCGTGATCCACCCGCCTCGGCCTCCCAAAGTGCTGGGATTACAGGCTTGAGCCACCGCGCCCGGCCAATAATCAATTTTTTAGAGACAAGGTCTTGTTTTGTTACCCAGGCTGGAGTTCCTTGGTGTGATCCAGCTCATGGTAACCTCGAATTCCTGTGCTCAAGTGGTCCTCCCACTTCCGCTTCCAGAGTTATTGGGACTACAGGTGCCTGCCTGCACCGCCAGGCCGGGCCCACAGCCCCTTCGACCTCAATGACCAGCACTCACCCGCAAGCTGGAAGCCTCACCTTTTCCAGCCATCTCCACACCCTCTGGGCCACCCCCAGGGACCCCTTTGGGCATTGCCATTATCATGACAAGTATTCCCTCTCCTCCTGGACAAAAGCGAGGCCAGACCTGACCCAAGCACTCCAGCCTTCGCCCTCCATCTCTGCAGCTTGTCGGCTGGGTAAGGCCTCCCTAGAGGAGCACAGGAGACAGGCCGGCAGGAGGCCCCTCCACGCCCACAACTCGTTCTGAGCTGGGCAGAATAGGCAATGAATGGCGGACCACGAGGCTGCGGACCCCGGCCGGGACAGCAGGGCAGAGGAGCGGCTTCCAGCCGGCTTCGCTATGCGCCAGGCCCGGCCCCGGGTCCTAAAGGGCAGGCAGGTGTCGGGGAAGAAGAGCCTCAGCCCGGGCCCCGGCCTTCTCCCGAGCGCGCACCTCCCGCACCAGGGCTCGGCGCCCACCAGCCCCACAGGGCTCCACGTCCCTAGCCGGGGACTTGTGACCTGCTAGCCTGAGACCCCTGCGCGTCCAGGCGACGGCGGCTGCGGGGGCCGCGAGGGGCGGTGCTGGCCCCGCTGCCCCCGAGCACAGGTGGGGTTTGCGGGAGCCCAGGCCGGCGACCCTCCCTGGGCAGGAACCCACCACACTGGAAGGCGGCTGAGGAAGTCCGCCCAGGAGCGGGGCCAGACACCTGCCCCGACGCGCCGCCCGGGGGGCCGCAGCCGCCGCGTTTCCGCGTACCTCGCAGGATAGGGGATGGGGGCCGCATCTAGGCCCCGCCCTCTGGCCCGCCCACACCTGGAGTTTCTGGGGGCGGGGCGCGGCGACGAGCCAATGGGGCGGGGAGGGGCGTGACGGAGGTAGCCAATGGACGAGGGCTGGAGGGCGGGACACCCGCGCGGGTAAGCCAATAGGGGTGCTGGAGGGCGGGGCACGCGGGCCGCGGGCCAATGGGGGCGCGGGGTCGGGGCGCGCCGCGGCGCTGGGGGCGGCAGGTTGCGGCGGTGCCCGAGCGGGTCGCGAGGCTGGCGAGCGCCCAGGTGAGCCGCGTCGGGTCCCGGGGCCTTCCGAGTGCGGGGCTTGCTTCGAGCCGGCCGGGCACCAACTCCAACTGGGGAGCGTTTTCCGCGAGGCCCGGGCGGGGGGCCGAGGGCGGGGGCGTCGCCGCACCTGCGCCCACCCGACGGAGCTGGGACGCCCGGGCTCCCGCCAGGCTGGGGTTGTGGTTCGGGCATCGGTGCCCGCGGCGGAGACCGGGAACTTCGGGGCGAAAGGAGCGATTGGGCGGCGGGGCTCCCTGGGTTGGCGGAGGCTGCTCAGACCCGGAGTCCGCTGGATGCGCGGGGTCGAGGTCTGGGTCGCGACCCCGAGCGCCGCTGCGGCCTGAGCGGGTCCGGGTGGGGCGTTCCCATGGCGGCGGCCGCAGTGCCCTCCGAGCCAGGTGAGGCGGACAGGAAATCCTGGATCTGGTTAATGATTCGCCTTGCTCCGGGAGTGCGGGCGTGGCAAGAGGAGGCTGGTGAGGTGGGGAGCCTGCATGCTCCGGAGGGCCGCCCCAGGAATGTGTGGCCGGCGGGTGGGGCCGGCACGGGAGGGTGGGGCCGGTTCGGAGGGGCCGCAGCCGGAGCCGTTTCTAGGGCAGGCCAGGAGGAGGAGGAGGAAGACCGTGCCGAGGTAGAAGTAGGCAGGTCCTGACCCTGTGGCCTGTGCCTTCCCCACAAAACAGGGATGCTCTTGGGGTTGGCTGCCATGGAGCTGAAGGTATGGGTGGACGGCATCCAGCGTGTGGTCTGTGGGGTCTCCGAGCAGACCACCTGCCAGGAAGTGGTCATCGCACTAGCCCAAGCAATAGGTGAGTGCTCTGGGAGTGAGGCTGCCTGGCAGGTAGAGCTGAACTGGGGCCTGATGGTCTAGCCCTATGTTTCACCCAAGGAGGGTGGGGCTGGCTGTCCTTCCCAATTCCTCAAGCCAGGTAGACAGAGTGGGGGGCACAAAGGCTGACCTTCTTCCCTCCCCCCAGGTCAGACCGGCCGGTTTGTGCTTGTGCAGCGGCTTAGAGAGAAGGAGCGGCAGCTGCTGCCAGAGGAGTGTCCAGTGGGTGCCCAGGCCACCTGCGGACAGTTTGCCAGCGATGTCCAGTTTGTCCTGAGGCGCACGGGGCCCAGCCTGGCTGGGAGGCCCTCTTCAGACAGCTGCCCACCCCCAGAACGCTGCCCAATTCGTGCCAGCCTCCCTGCAAAGCCACGGGTAACGCTGGGCTGTGAGCCCTGCAAAGCACTGACCCCTGGGCCAGCCCCCAGCCTCTCACCTCCTGGGCCTGCAGCCCCCATGACACCCTCACCGGGCTGCTGCACAGACCTGCGGAGCCTGGAGCTCAGGGTGCAGAGAAATGCTGAGGAGTTGGGCCACGAGGCCTTCTGGGAGCAGGAGCTGCGTCGGGAGCAAGCCCGGGAGCGGGAGGGACAGGCACGCCTGCAGGCGCTAAGCGCAGCCACTGCTGAGCACGCCGCCCGGCTGCAGGCACTGGACGCCCAGGCCCGAGCCCTGGAGGCTGAGCTGCAGCTGGCAGCAGAGGCCCCTGGACCCCCTTCTCCCATGGCATCTGCCACTGAGCGCCTGCGCCAGGACCTGGCTGTTCAGGAGCGTCAGAGTGCGGAGGTGCAGGGCAGCCTGGCCCTGGTGAGCCGGGCCCTGGAGGCTGCAGAGCGAGCGCTGCAGGTGAGCCCCGGGACCTGGTTCCTGTCACTTCCCCTCCCCTGTCACGAGCAGGTTTGGGGGTCACAGGGTCCGGCTAGGGAGAGCGCTCCCTCCGGGTCACAAGGGCCATGGAGCCCTATGGCTGTGCCTCCTGAGGGTCCCGTGTGCCCCCAGGCCCAGGCTCAGGAGCTGGAGGAGCTGAACCGGGAGCTCCGTCAGTGCAATCTGCAGCAGTTCATCCAGCAGACTGGCGCTGCACTGCCACCGCCCCCACAGTCTGACAGGGGCCCTCCTAACACACAGGTCGGTGTGGTTCTGGGGGAGGCCGGGAGGTGAGGACCTGGCCCAGCCCCACTCCAAGCTGACTTCCCTCCCCACAGGGCCCTCTGTCTTCAGCCAGAGAGGAGTCCCTCCTGGGACTCCCCCTGAGCCCCGTGCTGGTGCCTACCTTAGGCCCCGAGGGTATGTCTGTGTCCCACCTACCCCTGGGGCCCGGGGCCCTCCTGTGGCCGCAGCCTCCTCAGCCTGTGTCCTCCTGCAGTGGCTTCTATGAAGCAGAACTCCTGGAGGTAGCAGCACCTCCTGCCCCAGAGTGGCGTCCTCTAGCAGCCCAGCCCCAGGCTCTGTGACAGACCAGTGAGGGCGGTGAGACCAACCTGCCTGGACCGCAGAAGGAGGTCGGCGGTCACAGAGGGCTCCTGCACCACACAGTGGGAAGCTCTGGGCTCGGCTGGAGCAAGGGGTGCAGAGGAGGACTGCCTGAGTCCTTGCCAGCTCTGCCAGACACCCTGGAGAAGCATGGGGTGTAGCCAGCTCGAACTTGCAGGCCCCAGAGACCACAACTGTCTGCTGGGGACAGGAGATTCGTTGCCAGTGCTCAGGCTGTGGGCATGTGCCTGCCTGCGGGTGGCTCCTTCACAGTGTGTAGAGCATGTATGTGCCACCTCCCGACCCCAACGCTAAAACCTCAATAAACTGCCCACAGTGGCTTGAGTGTGTGCTAAGGCTGCGCTGGGCAGGGTCTGTGAGATCTTGAGCGTGAGCCTCCACGGGGTGCCACTGAGCAGTACCCCAAGACATCTGGGGCTGGCCACAGCTAGAGCATCTTTGAATGGGGTCCCTCAGGGACCAGTGCTCAGTAGGGCCCAGCCCTGGAGCTTCCTGGGCTCCACATTCCATCTGCTTGGCCCTGCCTACCCTTGGGGGCTCTCCTGTTAAGGGCCCCAGCCTGGCGGGCCTGCTGGCTGAGCCTGGCCTGACTATTCTGGGATTGTCTGAACCCCCTCCCACCTGACTCCTTGTTGTGTGACCTGTGCCCCACCAACAGCAGGAACTGAGGACGCTGGGATGAGCTAGACCCGCCTGTCAGGTTTACTGAGAACTTGTGGGGGCGGGTCCCAGATTCCTAGGTCAGCCAGGCCCAGGCAGCTTCACCACCCCAGGGAAGGCATGGGTACCAGTGGGTAGGGGCTGTCCCCTCCTCCCTAGGTGGATGTGAAATATCTGCTATGAGCCTGCAGCTTTGAAACTGGGGCAGAGGCCAGGTGCTGTGGCTCACACCTGTACGCCTAGCACTTTAGGAGGCTGAGACGGATGGATTGCTTGAGGTCAGGAGTTCAAGACCAGCCTGGCCAACATGGTGAAACTGTCTCTACAAAAAATACAAGGCCCAGCATGGTGGCTCATGCCTATTATCCCAACACTTTGGGAGGCTGAGGCAGGCAGATCACCGGAGGTCAAAGTTGGAGACCAGTCTGGCCAACACGATGAAAACCCATCTCGGGCCGGGCGCGGTGACTCAAGCCTGTAATCCCAGCACTTTGGGAGGCCGAGGCGGGTGGATCATGAGGTCAAGAGATCGAGACCATCCTGGTCAACATGGTGAAACCCCGTCTCTACTAAAAATACAAAAAATTAGCTGGGCATGGTGGCGCGTGTCTGTAATCCCAGCTACTCGGGAGGCTGAGGCAGGAGAATTGCCTGAACCCAGGAGGCGGAGGTTGCGGTGAGCCGAGATCGCGCCATTGCACTCCAGCCTGTAACAAGAGTGAAAAAACGTCTCAAAAAAAAAAAAAGAAAGAAAGAAAACCCACCTCTACTAAAAATACAAGAATTTAGCCAGGCATGGTCATGCGCACCTGTAAGTCCCAGCTACTCGGGAAGCTGAGGCAGGAGAATCGCTTGAACCTGGAAGATGGAGATTGCAGTGAGCCAAGATTGAGCCACTGCACTCCAGCCTGGGTGACAGAGTGAGACTGTCTCCAAAAAAAAAAAAATTGGGGCAGCGTCCGCATTCCATCCCAGCCCCTGCCTGGGCCCTTAAGCTGCCTGTTGCTTCTCATGGGTCCTCAGGGTGAACCATACACTCCTAGCTCCAAGGACCATGGTTGGGGTCCGAGAAGAGGTTTTTTGTGGTAAGCAGAATGTGGGGGACCCCTACAACTGGGTAGAACCATGGCTGGTATTGGAGGGATCAGGGGTGTCCAGTCCTTTGGCTTCCCTAGACCACATTGGAAGAATTGTTTTGGGCCACACATAGAATACACTAACAATAGCTGATGGGCCATAAAAAAATAAAAAATTGTGGCCAGGCACAGTGGCTCCTGCCTGTAATCCCAGCACTTTGGGAGGCCGAGGCAGGTGAATCACGAGGTCAAGAGTTCGAGACCAGCCTGGCCAATATAATGAAACCCCCGTCTCTACTAAAAAATACAAAAATTAGCTGGGTGTGTTGGTGCGTGCCACCCCCTGGCACTGGAGCAGAGGAACGGAACGTGGAAGTCCTGAACTTGAGCAAGGAAGCCATCCACAGGGGCCCCCAAAGGCCACGGCCACCAGCTCCCTGCTGCGTAGAGGGGACTTAGCTATTTCCTGCCTGAGGCAGGGAACCAAATGCAGTGAGGCCAGGCAGCAGAGGTGTCAGCAAGCTGGAACCCCCACCTGACCTCGCTCCTGTCTGCACTCTGGCCTCAGCCTGCTGCCTGGCTCATAGCTGCCCATCCCTGGGAGGTCCTCAGGGGCCTGGACCTACCTAACCCGTGGCCCCAGACAGGGCAAAGCCCAGGGTCACATGGTGGGGAGCCTGGAATGCGGAGGCCAAGTGGGTTGTGCCTGGGCAGCTGGCCTGGGGCCCGAGGGCCGACTCCTCCATCCACAGCCCCCACCCACACTCCAAAGGGCAGTTGTACCTGTGAGCAGCCCTCTGACCCATCATGGGGGTCATCTTCCAGAATCACACAGGCGAGCAGGGGGCAGTGCCAGGTGCCATCCAGGGCCCACCCCCATGTCCTCCTGGGGTCATGAGCTCTGCCCCACCCGCCCCAGCCCCTTAATAGGAAACAGGCATGGGGCTGGCAGAGCACACGCTGTGCTGTTGCTGTGTCTGTTTTCAAGGAACACCTGTTCTTCTGAAGCCACCGCCTGGGTGCCTGTGCCTGGTCTGCTAGCTCTGATGAAGCTAACCAGCCCTCTTCCCACCAAGAGGGTGTCCCGGCACCCGCTGGGTTCTGCCGGGGTGGGGATGGTGTGGAGACTTCCTTCTCACTGGCTGTTTCATTTTTCATTTTTCTGAGACAGAGTCTCTGTCATCACCCAGGCTGGAGTGCAGTGGCACAATCTCATCTCACTGCAACCTCCACCTCCCAGGTTCAAACAATTCTCCTGCCTCAGCCTTCCGAGTAGCTGGGACCACAGGCGCACACCACCACGCCCGGCTAATTTTTGTGATTTTAGTAGAGATGGGGTTTCGTCATGTTGCCCAGCCTGGTCTCGAACTGCTGATCTCAAGTGATCCACACGCCTCATCCTCCCAAAGTGTTGGGATGCTGGGGGTGAGCCACTGAGCCGGGCCTCTCACAGATGTTTCAGGTGAACAGACTCCCATGGTCCGAAAAGTTGCCAGAGTGTTTCAGATCAGTAAGCAAACCTTTGAGTGACTGAAAAGTTTACTTTTGAGTTTTCAACTGCACTTTGAAAACTATATTGTGCACTGTGCTAGCGTGTGGAAAGGCTGGGCTCCCTGAAAATATCCAGTTCCACCGCAGGGCAGGCCCAAGCCAAGCCAACCCCCAGGCGACGCAGGGTGGCATCCCACCTGGTGTAATAAGGGCAGAAGCAGAGCCAGGCCTAATTGAGTGACTGCTGGGGCCCTACTGGCCCAGACTTCCACCTGACCCCAACACAGAAGTGCTCTGTAGAGCTGGCTGAGGACCCCGGTTCGCTGAGGGTGCCTCACAGAAAGTCCCTATTGGGCAGGAAGTCAGCTCTGCAGGTTCCATCCACCCCAAGGCCACATACAGCCTTCTCCACCTGCAGATTCTGCCAAGCCTCAGTCCACAGTGGTGACAGGCAGCCCCATCAGGACAGGGTGCTTCCAAAGGCGTCCACTAAATCTGCCTCTCCTTCTCCAGCGAGCTGGGTGCAGCCCTCAACCCCTGCAGACATAGGGGGAGGGGACAGGGCCTGTAGGCTCAGGATACACCCTGGCCCTGATTTTCACAGTGGTCTTGAGGAGGCAAGCCCAGCAGACAGGCAGCTGGAGAGGCACGTCCGGGCCCGGACATGGGTCCACCGCACTGACAGGCACTGGAGACGCACTCTGGGCCCCGACATGGGTCCACCGCACCGACTCCCGCAGTGGCCTCACTGAGGCAGCAGAAACACAGAAGCGCCAAATCCGTCACTCTCTTCCCGTATGAAGTCCCCAGAGAATGGCTCTGTTGGCTGAAGACAGCACCATAACACCCGTGCCTGCCCAGGGCCACCTTCGACTTGGCTACAGGAACTCCGCAGATCGGCACCCTGGACACACAAGGAAAAGAAAGTTCCCTCCAAGGGGGTACCTGGCCCAGCCTCGGCCCCAGCAAGCCCCCGAATGACTCCTACCCCGGACCCGCCGCCCTGCTAGGCAGACAGGCACACCCTGTCCATGGGGGCACCCCCTCCCCACAGTGTCCGTGTGGCCGCTCGCCTGCCCGCCAGACCCGGGTCACGGGGCCAGGAGGGTCGCGCTGCCCAGGCACAGATCAGCCGCTGTCACACGCACAGTGGGTCTGGAGCAGCGCAGTGTGCGGTGGGCAGGGGCTGCCCTGCGTCTGGAGGGACGGCCGGGTGGGCGGGCGGAGGAATCGACCCCCCATCCCCGTCCCCTCCAACTGGGGTGTCCGAGCCCCGCCGCCCCTGCCCAGCCCGACCCCCGCAATCCCCGCGGGAGGGCGGCTTCGGAGGTGCGTCCCGCCCGCCAACCTGGGATTCCTCGCGTGTCACCTGCGACCCCGTCGAGGGGCGGCCGCCAGCTCTCGGCCCAACTTCGGCCGCGGCCCCAGGCACCTTCGCGCCCCCGGCCCGCCCCGCCCAGGCCGGGTCCCCACCGCCCACGCCCCGCCCCGTATGCAAATGATCTGGCCCTACAGCCAATGGCCGGCCGAGCTGGGCCCGCCCTGCCGCAAGGCAGCCAGTGGGCACGAGGGGGGTTCACGACGCCCCGCCCACCGCCGCGCGGCCCTTAGCGGGCGAGGCCGGCGCGTTCTTTTCTGCACGTCGGCCCGGGGAGGGGCGGCACCTGCCGGGCGGGGCCTGCGGGGCGCCGGCCACGAGGGCGCGGCGGGGCCGGGGCGCGTCCCCAAGCTGGGCGGATGGTACGGCCCGAGGTGGTCCTCCTCCCGCCGCGCGGTGGTACGGCCCGGGCTCGCCGGGCTTCCGGGCTGGGCGTGGGGCGGCAGGGCGGGCCGGGAGCTTCTCCTCTCCCCGCGGCACGGTGGTACGACCCGGCCGCCTCCGTACCCCGCACCCGCGTGCCGCGGGCCGCCCCCCCGAACCTGCTGGGCGCCCGGCGCACGTAGCCCGGGTCGTGACCCGGGAAGGGCCTCGTGGGCCGGGACACGGCGTCCTCGGGACGCACGCGCCACCGCTGGGCGGCCTGGGGTCCCCAAACGACTGCCGGGTCCGGCCGGCTGGCGAAGAGGAGGCTCTGGCTCTATCTGGTTTGCCTGGCGACGCCCCGGGGTGGCCCTGGGGACTGTGGGCCCTCTTGCGCGCTCTGTCTCCACGGAAGCCTCGTGAGCCTCGCCGGGGTGCTGCACGGGGCTCGGGGTCCCCGCCGCCCTGTGCGGGTCTGTTGCCGGGACGAGGCGAAAGTAGCTTGTCTGTGCGCTGAAAAGGTGTAAAATCAAAGGAGCCTTGACGGTTTGACCTTCGTTAGGACGCGCGCGGTTAGCTTCGGACGTGGAAGTGTGGGACTCTGGGTGGGGCCCCAAAGTGGCAGCCAAGGGCGATCTGGCCGCCGGCCCCCGCTGGCACTGTCACCCCGGTCTTCGGCCCGGGGCCGTCTCCCCTTAGCTCCCTGGCGCTAAACTCACCGCCCTGCCCTTTGTTCTCCCCTGGCCCCATGACCTCCCTGCATCGGCATTTGCGCGGGCCTGGGCCGCAGCCTGCCCACTGCCCCAACCCCAGCCCTGGCGGCCAAGTGCTGGGGCCCCAGGGAGGCTCCGACTCAGCCCAGGTCCTCGGGAACTTGAAGGCTGGGGACATAAATTCAGGTGCAGTGTCTGGAGTGGGTCAGATGTGATCCGCAAGACATAATCAAGGTCTTGCTGACTCCTTGACCCTGGCCCCCAATAGAGCCGAGTGGCTCCTTGCACCTCTGGCCACCCGTGAATGGGGAAGGTCCCCGAGCAATAAGGGCCACTAGGTTCTACTGGGGGTCAGGGGTCAAGGGGTCAGCAAGACCTCTATCATGTGGGTTGTGAAAGAACCTCTGGGAGTCAGTGGGATCCCTGAGGAGCCCCTCGGCTTCAGGGCAGAGTAGAGGCTCTCAGGGCAGTCGGACTGGGGACAGGAAGGAGCAAGAGGATAGAGTGGCTCTGGGTTCGTCATGTCCTGCTGATGTGAACCCACTTCTGCCCCAAGCCCTGCCAATTTCACATGCACCTTTTCTCACCATCTGTAGTGAGTGGGATGGTCCCCCCAAAAGAAGACATATCCACATCCTAATGCGCAGACCCCCAAACGTGGCCTTACTGGGAGAAAGTGTCTCTGCAGATGTGGTTAAGGAAGCATCTTGAAGTGAGATCATCCTGGACTATCTGGGTGGGCCCTAACTCCAATGACCAGTGTCCTTATAGAACACAGAAGAGAGAAACACAGGCTGAGTGCACTGGTTCAAGCCTGTATTCCCAGCACTCTGGGAGGCCGAGGTGGACGGATCACCTGAGGTCAGGAGTTTGAGACCAGCCTGGCCAACATAGTGAAACCCCATCTCTACTAAAAAAAAAAAAAAAAAACAATTATCCAGGCATGGTGGTGTGCGCTTGTAAGCCCAAATACTTGAGAGGCTAAGGCAGGAGAATCACTTGAACCCGGGAGGTTGGCAGTGAGCTGAGATCGCACCACTACACTGCAAACTGGGCAATGGAGCAAGACTCTGGTTAAACAAAAAAATGGAGAGAAAAGAAAAGAAGAAGAAAGACACAGACAGAGGGAGGCCATAAGAAGCCACAGCCAAGGAACGCCTGGAGCCCACGAAGCTGGGAGAGGAAGGACCTCCCCAGATCCTCAACAGGGAGTGTGACCCTGCCAGCCTGGGTCTCAGACCTCTGGCTTCCAGACTGAGAGAATGCATTTCTGTTGTCTGAGGCCCACAGTCTGTGGGTGTGTGGTATGGCAGCCCCGGGACACAGAGACGGGCCCTCCCCAGACGGAGATGCAGCACTACCTGTCCCTCCCCCGGCTCTGGGAGTTTTGACTCCTTTGTTCTCTGCCCACCTTCTTCAGCTACCCTTGCCCCCCGCCTCCCCCAGGCATCCACCTGGCTCTGGGGCTCCCTGCTGCGCGGGGTGGGATGGGTTTCAGCATGGGCGATGACTGGGTTCAGTGACCACGGTGTGTGTGTTTGGGGGGGGCGGGCTGGGCCATCTGGGAGAAGTTGGCCTGGGCTGGACCGAAGCAAGGGAGCTCCCAGCCCAGCTCCACCCCCCGTGCACACCGGGAGCAGCACATGGCAGCATCAGCCAGGAATGCAGCCAGAGCCTCTGAGTGCAGGTCTGTGTGAGGCTGTGTGGGCAGGATGCACGTGTGCACACTGGCACTAGCAGGTGACTGGGGTGGCCTGTCCGTGTGCAGGGGAGGTGATGGTACTGACGAGCCTGAGCGCTGCCTGGCATAGCTGGGTGGGTTGTGCACCGACCAAGGGTGCTCACTGAGGACACGTTCTTCATGTTTCCCTGTGGATGTTTGCGTTTTATTTTTTTTAGAGATGAGGGTTTCACCTTGTTGGGCAGTCTGGTCTTGAACTCCTGGCTTCAGGTGATCCACCCACCTCGGCCTCCCAAAGTGCTGGGATTACTACAGGCGTGAGCCACTGCACCTGGACATGTGTGTTTATTTTAAAATTTTATGTATTTATTTCTTTTTGAGGCAGAGTCTCTCTCTGTAGCCCAGGCTGGAATACAGTGGAGCAATCTCGGCTCACTGCAACCTCCCCCTCCTGGGTCTTGGTTCAAGCAATTCTCCTGCCTCAGCCTCCGGAGTAGCTGGGATTGCAGGCACTTGCCACCACGCCCAGCTAATTTTTGTATTTTTTCCTAGAGACGGGGTTTCACCATATTGGCCAGGCTGGTCTTGAACTCCTGACCTTGTGACCCACCTGCCTCAGACTCCCAAAGTGCTGGGATTACAGGTGTGAGCCACCGCACCCTCTGCGTGTCCTTATTATTTGTTTTGCATGCGTTTATTTTTTAAATTTCATTTTATTATCTTTTTTTGTCTTTGAGATGGAGTCTCGCTCTGCCGCCCAGGCTGGAGCACGATCTCGGCTCACTGCAACCTCTCCCTCCCTGGTTCAAGTGATTCTCCTGCTTCAGCCTTCCAAGTAGCTGGGACCACAGGTGCGTGCCACCACACCTAGCTAATTTTTGGTATTTTTAGTAGAGCTAGGGTTTCACCGTGTTGGCCAGGATGGTCTCAATCTCCTGACCTTGTGATCTGCCCACCTTGGCCTCCCAAAGTGCTGGGATTACAGGTGTGAGCCACCACACCCGGCCTTTATCATCTTTTTTTTTGGAGACGGAGTTTTGCTGTTGTTACACAGACTGGAGTGCACTGGTCCTTTTTCACCTCACTGAAACCTCTGCCTCCTGGGTTCAAGTGATTCTCCTGCCTCAGCCTTCCGAGTAACTGGAATTACAGGGGTGCGCCACCATGCCCAGCTAATTTTTGGATTTTTTTTTTTGAGACACAGTCTCTGTCGCCCAGGCTGGAGTATACTGGCACAATCTTGGCTCACTGTAACCTCTGCCTCCTGGTTCAAGGGATTCTCCTGCCACAGCCTCCCAAGTAGCTGGGATTGTAGGCACCAGCCACCACACCCGGCTCATTTTGTATTTTTAGTTAGGGTTTCACTGTGTTGGCCAAGTTGGTCTCAAACTCCTGACCTCAGGTGATCCTCCTGCCTCGGCCTCCAAAAGTGCTGGGATTACAGGTGTGAGCCACTGCGTCTGGCTTATTATTTTTGAGACAGGGTCTCTGTCACCCAGGCTGCAGTGCAGTGGTGTCATCACGGTTCACTGCAGCCTCAGCCTCCCCTGGGCTCAAGCAATCCTCCCACCTCAGCCTCCTGAGTAGCTGGGACTACTGGTGTGCACTATTATGTCAGGCTAATTTTTTTCCAATTTCTTGTAGAGAGGAATTTCTCATCCCATTGCCCAGGTTGGAACTCCTAGGCTCAAGTGATCCTCCCACCGTGGCCTCCCAAACGCTGGGATAACAGGGTGTGTGCCACCGTGCCTGGCCTGGGTGATATGTTTACTTTGACAATTACCAGCAGCCCCCAGGCAGCCTGTTCTCCTTCCCAGGAGCCTCAGCCTGTGTCTGTGGGTGCCCCTTTATCTTAGTGGCCTGCAGGCAGGCATGCGGCACATGCAGAAGAAGGGGAGGTGCCTGGGTGCAGGGCAGAGGGAGGTCCCTCAGCCCACAGACCACACAGGACCCCACCTGAGCTGTACCCATCTCACCCTCACAATGAACCTAACAGGTATGATCACCAGCTTTCCTCTTTCACAGCCAAGGACACGGAGGCACACAGAGGTTGAGAAACTGAGACTGAAGCATGTGGGTTCAGGTGGCTGGCCTGGGTGAGCATCCTGACACCCAGCCCCTCCTGACCCACCGAGAGTCCATTGCTCCAGAGTCCTCCCTACTCTCTCCCACACCATCCACTCCTCCTTCAGTGCCTCCTTCTTCAGCGCCCAGCAGTGCCTATTACTTCTCCCATTGGAAACAGAAAACAACACCCCTTTCTTGCCGTCCTCCTCAGTTACCTCCACCTTTCTCTTCCCCTTTGCATTAAATCCACTTGA